GAGTTTAAGAGCACCAACTCTAGAGTCACATTGCCTGCGTGTGAATCTCAACTCTGCGGAGCTTTGAGCAAGTTCCTTAACTTTTGGGGTATCCAGCTTCTACAAAGATCCCCAGGGATCCCCAGGGATCTCAGTTACTAGCACTCATGCCCTTGTGCCATACCCTCTCCCATGGTATCAGGGCTGGCTTGGGTGAGCAAGAGAATACAGCAGAAATGATGTGTATTGCTCCTGAAGCTGGGTCACAAAAGGCTCTGTGGCTTCCTACCTGGTCGCTCTCTTGGCTCCTTCTTTCCACCCCATGGAAAGGCCCACACAGTGGGGAACCGAGATGTCTGGCTAACAGCCACAGGACGGAGCTTGGACTTGGATCCACCAGCCCCAGTCAAGCTTTCAGATGACATCTTGATTAAAACCTCTTGAGAAATCTAGAGCTAGAACCTCACAGCTAAGCCACCACCTAATTCCTGACTGGAAGAAAGTGTGAGATGACAAATGTCTGTCATTTCAGGTGTTGGGGGAATTCATTATGCAGTAGTAAATCCCTAAAGCAGCCTCTCAAAGTAAAATTTACATTTCTGTACAAATGGAGATGATAATAGAACCTCTCTCAAAGGGTGGTCTTAGGGATCAAAGGAGAAGTACATTGAAAGCCCTCAGCCCAGTACTTGGCACAGAGTGAACACATGTTAACTGGTATTACAGGTCCACATGCCTTGTCTTCCATATGCAAGGTGGTCCTGCATGTGCTTATAGTCACTTTTCCCAAGGGCTTTTTTTCCCCCAGCACTTTGTTAAGTACACAGATCTGGCTCTAGTCAGTCATTTTACGCTGTCTTTCTCTAACCATCAACCAGGCAAACAGTCTTCCCTTTTTTCCTCTCTGATCCCTTTTGGGATGAGATGCGAGATGCTTACAAGAGAAATTTAAGGCACATACTGGGGCTAGGGAACCACAGTCGCTGACCTGAAGAAGACCAACCCACTGACCTCATGAGCACTTGACAAAGGTAGACAATAGTCAGCTGAGCCAGCTGAAGTCAACTTGAGCTTTTACAGAGCTCACTGTTTAGAAATTGACCTCTGAAATACACAAAGCTTTCATTCAGGCTCACTTATGGGCTTTTAAACCTGGAATAGATCAGGCAAACTTCATAGATGCTATCTTTTCTTTCTCTGATTATTCCTGTCTCCTTCACATTTGGGTTTCCTTTTATTACTGCTGGATGGGTGAGCAGTCAAATTTCCTATGAACTGAAAAAATGATGTGGAGGAAATTTACTGCTAAAGTGGTGAAAAGAACAAAAGAACAACAGAGATGTTTCTGTCCCATAATAAAACTCAATAATAAAACTATTTGACAAATAACAACTCAATAATAAAACTATTTGATGAGTGACAGCTCAATAATAAAACTATCTGACAAATATTTCAAAAGCATAGCCTGTAATATGATATGAAAGGGGAAGTAAAGGGATCACAAATACTGAGTCAGAGGTTTTATTACCCGCAAACCATGAGGATTACTATACTTTCATTAAGAGTAAGTATATTTATCTATTTTACTGATGACTGGGGAATTGAACGTTTAAATTTAACATCCTTCTATAATAGGATATCTGAAGGGTTCAAAACAAACATACAATCTTTTATTATACACACAGAAAGAGGTGAACTTTTAATTTTGCTGGACAAAATGCACAATTCTTGACCTCAGGGAGTTTTTATTCTAAAAAAAAACACAGTAGCATTAAGCTCATGCCTCTCTGACTGTCTCTCTCCTCTCTCTCTCTTCTGGGTGTCTTTAGTTCTGCTTAAGACATTGTTTCATATGGAAACACTTAACCTTCTCTTAAACCAACCTCTCAGGGATATGAACTTGGGTTTGCTCATTTCTTCCTCCTTCCTTTTGGCTGTTTATTTCTTAGCTCTCCACAGGATCAAGGACTTTCTTTTTCTATCAAAAATCTTCCTTCCTCCCTCCCCTTCTTTTCTTCCTTCCTTTTCTTTCCATTCAACTTTCCTTTCTCCCACCTCCTGTCCTCTTTTCCTTCATGGTTTTTTTTTTTTTTTTAAACTTCAAACATAGATTGACAATATGGAGAACATTTCTTGGGTGGTGACTCTGAATTCTTTGTAAGAATGCTGTCCTTCATTGTGACATAGCCCAGGAATGAGGTTGTTGATTTAGTGAAAATGCCACATTCCTGAGTTTTCATCTATAATAAAGCAGCAGTTGAAACAAGATGACTTCTCTTTTCTGCTGAAATATGCATGCATATATATATATATATATATATGCACATACTAAGAAATATGAGAAAAGAAATAACTTGGGTGTTATTTCTTAAGTGTAAATAAAGCACACAATGAAACCACATATCCACCCAGTTGCCCAAGAAGCACCCTGAGCTCCCTTCCCTTTCTTTTTATGTTTAATCAATTACTGAAACCTAATTGTTCACATTTCTGAGAAGTGTGATAGCCTCTAAATTCTGCTCTGCATCATCAGTCTTCTGGGATACTTCCCTGTTTCCTCTCTAGTCTTGCCCCCCCTCAACCCACATTCCCACTGTCATGCCCAACAGTCCAGGCATATGCAAGTTATCCGCAAGTTAAAATCAACTCCTTTTGCTGCTGCCCACCCTGCTCTTCTGCCAGGAGTCCTTTTATGATCCAATTAGAGGATAGATACGATCTTGTGTCTCTTTGACTTATAAGGCATTTACATTTTCTGGAAAACCTTATCTCCAGACACCGACATTAACTATTCGAGCATCCCCACAGAAGAAACTTCTCCTGAGAAGACTTCCTTGACATTCCCAGAAGTAATCCTTCTAATCCACAGGTAAGTTTGCTCAAGCCTCTCTAAATTATTTTATTGAATCCTGATGCTTAGATGGAGACACATGAATCTCTGGAGAAGTCCTCATCAAAAGAATGTTCTTGAAATATCTGTCCAAATTTCATTTAGGGAAGAGACTAGGTGTTTAAGGGAAATGGCAAGACAGCCCCTCCCCAGTCTGCATGCCCCAGCTGGCAAAGCAAAATCCCCCCGGAGTCAACTTGACCAAACCCCCTAGAAGGCAGTTGCATGACCCCTAGAACATTTCACTGCCTATTTCAAGTGGCTTATCGAAGGTCAGTGTTCCTTCCAACTTTCCCTAAGGAAAGTGCTGATAATTACAGTTTTATACCCATCCTTCCAGTGGTGCTGTGCTGCCTCAGTGATATTCTGGAGACAAATGGACTATCCAGGTTACTTTGGGTTTTTTTTTTTTGGTTTTGTTTTTGCATATTTGTCTCCCAGTAGATATAAACTTCTTGAGGTCAGAGATCTTTATAAACTTTAATCTTTGTATTTGCAACAAGTAGCACAGCGCCTGGCACGTAGTGTCAGTCATGTGACTATCTGTTGATGGTATGGATGACCCATTTTTTTTTAAAGATTTTATTTCTTTATTTGAGAAAGAGAGAGAGATCATGAGCAGGGGCGGGGTGTAGAGGGAGCAGACTCCCCACTAAGTAGGGAGTCCGACGTAGGACTCGATCCCAGGACCCTGAGATCATGACCTGAGCCAAAGGCAGATGCTTAACCAACTGAGCTACCCAGGCACCCTGAATGACTCATTCTTACAACTAAGCTTTGTGTATGTGGTTGTTTCAAAATATGAAGTATCATTTTATGAAAACAGTTACATTTTAACACAACAAAGTCAAATGTAAGGGAACTGATGTCTGCCACTGAATTGTCTTAAATGGTGGTAACCATTGCTTTCTTTAAGGATTTTTTTTTTTTTAATGTATTTGACAGAGACAGAGAGACAGAGAGACACAGAGAGAGTACAAGCAGGGGCAGCAGCAGAGAGAAAGGGAGAAGCAGGCTCTCTGCTGAGCAGGGAGCCTGATATGGGACTCGATCCCAGAACCCTGGGATCATGACCTGAGCTGAACGCAGATGCTAACAATTGCTTTCTTAACTAAAAGTCATTATCAGTAGGTCAGCACTCTCAGGTACTTAACCTTTGGCACCTTTGCCTGGCCCTGAAACTGCCAGGCAAACAGCTCTTGACAGCTTCACAAACTAATTCTGAACCGTCCCCTTGCAATTCACAGAAGACCCCTCAGTATGTGAGCACTGTCTGCACATTTCCTGGCTGACTAGACCATCCAGAGAGAATGCTTCAGTTGGCTGACTAGAATGTGTAATACTGAAACGAAAGTAAATATTTACTTAAAAGGAAAGTAAGGCCAGAAGAAACCCAAACTAGATGTTCTCAACTTGCTTGCATCCAATAATGTGTATCCCATTACATGAAGGTTTTATAGTAAGAGCTAGAGCTGAACTGCATCAGGCAAGCTAAAAAAATGAAGGCAGCTTTAAATGAAAGAATCCACCAAACATCACTGATCCCACCCACCTCTGAATATTACCGTGTACACCGGCTTTATGATTTACTGTGACATATTCCTGTAAATGGTGAAGCAGTTATTTCTCTGCATCTTAACTCTCTGATTAACGGATTTTCATCATCCTGGAAGGAAAAGAAACTGGGTTCCCCACCAAGTCTTTTCTCAAAACTGTCTTTGGGGGCTTTTCCTTCTGTTATTTTTTTCCCCTCCTCTTATGACATCCTTACTACTGTTTGAAAACTTTAAACACCACATCTTTTCCCTTGAAGATCACAACTACAAAGGTTTGGGTTTTTTCTACTTTAAATCATATTAAATTTAAAATTTAAACTTGAATTTAATAAAAAGAAATCTTAAGACTTCTCCTTGATTTCAGGAAGTATGTATTTATGATACAAAGCTGTCGCAGACTGAACACTGAAGACCCCAGCAAGGGCATCTAGCCACTCCCTGCAAGCAGCCACACCAACAGGGAAGCCTCAGTTACAACTTGGTGAACTGGTCCAAGCCCCTAGCGAGATCCTTAGCTCTCCTCCGTGTGCTTAGTGTGGTAAGATAGAACCTATACTGGTCTCTGACTCTCTTATCATTTGCAAATGTTTCAAACTTACTGCCTTTGTTCAGCAGAACCACGGGCACGGTGATGACGGTGACAAGCGCAGCAAGCCCCAGCAGTCCCAGGAGCACCTTCCACGGCGTCTGCAAGCCGGTCAGATCATACCCAGTTAGAGCGAGCCCTCTGCCCCAGTCTGGTAGAGGTAGAGGCTCGGGGCCCGCGCTGCACCGTAGGCAGCGGGATTTGCCCATGGGCGAACATCGGAAGAGGGGCACAGTGGGTTGAGAGGGTTTGGAGTGCGGAGGTTGCAAGAGTGGCTGCCCCTGAACTTGTGTCAGCTGAGCCCATTGGCGTTTGCTTCTCTACGGCCTCCTGCAGGTCAGAAGCCAAGTAAGAGAGAAGCCAAGTGAGGGTGCGAGCGGGCGTTTTATGGGTGGCTCTCTGCGTTCTCCCAGGCTCGGCTCCTGGTTCTAGCAGAAACCCCGGGGGGCCGAGCGCCAGGCGGGGGCTCTGAGACGTCCCTTCACCTGTTAGGGGGCGGCCCTGGAGCTTCCACCGAAGAGGAGCTCCTGGTCGCGTTCCTCCAGCTTCGGGGTCCATTTGGGGGAGAATCTGGTGAGGAAGCACCTACAATTCAACCCTGGGGTTAGGAAAGGCGCTGCTCACTCACCTTCATCGTCGGCGTGTGCCCGGAACTGAGCGCCGGGAGCAGGAGCGCAGGCAGAAGTCAGGCGAACCGCAGGGACGCGCGTCCAGCTCCGCCGCTCCGGGCCGCGGAGTCACTGGGCGCTCCCAAGTTTCTGCCCGGAGTTAAACATTAGTGAGCGTCCCGCCCGCTCTGTATAAAGGCCGCGCGCGGGCAGGCTGCGGGCGAAGGCGCGCCGGGCGCCGGGCACTGGCATCCCGGCCGGAGGGCGCCCGAGAGGCGCCTCCCCCGTGTGCCGGGCGCGGGGCTGCAGCCGGGGCGCGCAGGGTGCAGGGCCCCCGGGACGCGCGGGCGGGGCTGCGAGAGCTGGAGCCGGGGAGAGCCAGCGCCTGGCAGCCGGCGCGCACAAGGTGGTCCGCCGGAGCGGAAAGGGACCTTGGCGCTGCCGTCCCAAGGGGTCTGCAAACTCACGCCTCACTGCTGGCAGCCCAGCTAAAACCCAGGCCTCTGTCTTGTGCTAGTGAAAGTCTGTTGGGAGGTAGTGGGGGTGTTCCAACCTTCTGGAAGGCAAAGGGAGAGAAAAGGTGATTGTTCCTTTGTGAATGGCGCTTAAAGGCTAAGTAGCTGAATTCTCCCTCCGTAGGGTATTTCCAGCTTGTCTTGCAGGCTTACCTTCTCATAAGATGCCAAAAATAACAATAACACTTATGTGGAACTTACTTTTCCCCCTGGGAGCTACTCTAAGGATTTACTGTGTTTATTTTACAGGGAGAAAACCTAGGCACAGAAAGGTTAAGTCACTCTGGTCCGAAGCACTCAGCTAGGACTTCGTGGAGCCTAAATACAGAGTCCGGTGTTCTTAACCGTCACTTCACATGGTTTCCCATCTTTCGGTCTTGCAAGGAGAGTTTAGGGAGGAGAAAGTGGTTGCACGTGGCTTCTTCCTTCCTCAGTTCCCACTGTGCCCTGTGGATTCCTCCCTCCCTCCCTTCCTTCCTTCTTTCCTTCCTTCTTTCTTCCCTCCCTTCCTCCCTCCCTTCCTTCCTTCCACCCTTCCTTCCGTCCTTCCTTCCTTCCTTCCTTCCTTCCCTCCTATCCTCTGTGGCATTTATTACCATTTATTCTGCCCACTCCCCCAAATACTGGAGCGGCTGCTTGGTGCCAGACCCTCTTCTAGTTGCTCGAGAGAGAAGTGAAACAAGATAGATGAGGCCTGTGCATTTAGCACTTTCAGTATAAAATACTCTGGTAAACATTTGCCTTTAGGGTCTCGTGACACTTACTTCCTTTCTTGAGGATAAGTACTCCCACCCCTTTAAAAGCCTCTTCAGCTTGGGTTCACTGCACTGGAAAAGCAAAGCTTCTGTGCCCATAGAGGTAAAAGATTAAACATGCAAAGTCCTGTGGGACATTAACACATGTTTATGAATAAACTCAAGTTTTCATCCTTTATCTCAAGTGCGGACTTTGCTTTCCATCTCAGGGATCTTTTTCCCTCTTGACCACTGGTTGCTCATGACACCTACCTAGGCTCGCCCACACCCACCTCCAGAGGCTCAAACTGAACTCCTTTGTCAGTTTCTCCCTGCCCTTCTTGAATCATCTGGGTCTTCGTTAAAAGCATTCCTGTTCACCATTCACAAAAACTGAAAACTTCAGTCACCTCAGGTTTTCTTCTCTATTCTCCTACTACATTCACTCGGCCACTACTTCCTCTCAAATCTGCCTTTACAAGTGTATCTCAAATCCATCCACTCTTCACTTTCCCACCTGCTCAAAAGGTAAGTCAGTACGGCTTCTGGAAACTGTGAGCTGGCGCTGTGAAAAGAGCCATCCAGCAAGGACTGTCTTCGCTCTCAGTGGTGTTCTTTTCTTTCTCTCTCCTGTTCATTATGCTTTAATTCTGAGGACCATATGAAGGTAGAATATATTAAAAACTACAAAAACCATAAAAATCTGTATAGAAAAACCATTTCCTTAAGTTGATGGCCAAATGTTAAAATGTTATTTTTCATTTATAATCATTTATATATACATTTATATCATTCATACCATTTATAATCTTGTCACAGTCCACTTAATGAAGTTTGGTTAGATTTCAGTGAAATTTATCCTACTGAGTAGTTTCTTTTCTCCTGGGATTGGGGAGGGGGTAATTTTACAACAATGAGTATGTATGGTGTAGAATTTCATGCAAATGAGGTGTGCCAGCATTGTGGTAATTTAAACAAAAACAAAACAAAGACTAATGCACACACTTGCTGCTGCTCAGATCACTGCAGCTTCTAGGGTCCATTTTCTTTCACTGATTTAAAAACAAAACAAACAAAAAAAGTTGTGCCTGAAATGAATTTTGATTTTTTTTTTTTTATAAGTAGCTGCCTGGTTCCTGTGTCTTGTAAAATACAGGCACTTGACCCTTAGTGTAGCTTCTGTTCAATTTTATATCACAGGAACAGATTGATCTGATTTCTTGGCCCTCAATCTTGAATTGGCCACACCCAGGGTCCTAGGTCAGTGGACTGAAGACTTTGTCTAAGATGACAAGGGCAGCTCAGGGGATGTGGGGGAGGGTCCTCTAGTCTTCTCTGTTGTTTGAGGTTTTGATCTTCTCTGGGTAAAGAGGCCATTTATCTTTGTAAACACAAAACACTTTTGCTTTCTCCAGGTTTCTCTTAAAGGCAAAAGTGGAAGCAAATAAAATTTTACTGATATTTGAGACTCTTAAAAAAAGAAAAAAAAAGTTCAACAAAGACTACGGGAATGGTGCCATGTTGGGAGCTCAGTGTTCACCTCTGCTCTCTCACCAGTTTGTACACAAAGCAGTGGGGGAGGAAAGCCACAAGTCATACCAGCCTTGGGGAGGGAAGGCAATATAGCTGAGCCCTTGCTTAACCTCCATGCCTGTCCCAGCACACTGTATGTTCAGCAAGGGGAAGCTGGAGGGAGGAAGGCTTACATCCACGGGACAGGTAAACTTGTTCTCTGGAGGTGAGACGCTGATGAGACACAAGTACCTTCCCACTCTTCCCATTTCAAGGTATTCTTTCCCAAATCTCCCCTACCCCAACTTCTTTATCACGTCTTCCAGTCTTGTTTTTTCAAGTCCCTAAGGAGCCAGCTGGCCAACACATTCGCCACCACCTGTGAGTCAGTGTTGATGTTGTATCAGGCCATCTCTCTTCCCAGACAAAATGGAAAAACAGCTGTAATAAAAGTTCTGTCCCTTAGGAAGATTTCTCTTCTATCGTATTTCTGGGCATCCCTGGATGGGGCTGTGATGGGAGCAGCCATCCACTTAGGACTGGTGCCAGCTCATTTGGCACAAGGCTTGCTCTTCCCTCCTGTTACCTGGCCCTCCAGCACTTCCTGTGAAGCTACAGGTGTGTCCTAAGAGACATGGAACCATCCAGAAAGCCATCATGAAGACTAAGCTCTCTGTTCATGTGTTTTTCTTGTGCCTGCTCGACCATTCAGGCTCTCCTGACATATCTTTTTTTTTTTTTTAAGATTATTTATTTATTTATTTATTTGACAGACAGATCACAAGTAGGCAGAGAGGCAGGCAGAGAGAGAGAGAGAGAGAGAGACAAGCAGGCTCCCCGCTGAGCGGAGAGGCTGATGCAGGGCTCGATCCCAGGACCACAGGATCATGACCTGAGCCGAAGGCAGAGGCTTTAACCCACTGAGCCACCCAGGCGCCCCTCTCCTGCCATATCTTATAAATACTATTTTCACTTCATAATGGGATGCCTCTCTTCCAGAAAAGACATGTTGGAGTCTTAATCCCCAGTATTTCAGAAAGTGGTCTTATTTGGAAATAGGGTCTTCACAAAAGTCATGGGGTTAAAAAGAAGTACTTGTGGGGGGGCTCTAATCTAACATGACCGGTTATAAGAAGGGGAAATTTGGACACAGAGACAGACATGCACACAAAGAAGAGGAGGTAAAAAGACACAAGTTCATGATCATCTCCAAGCCAAGGAGAGAAACTCAGACCAAGTTCTTCTCTCACAGCCTCCAGAACTGTGAGATAATACACTGCTGTTGTGTAAATAGCCAGTTTGTCTTACTTTGGTACAGCAGCAGCCCTAGCACACTAATATGCTTGGCGTTCCATGATCATGCTTTCTGTCTCTACCAGGACCCTCTAAAAAGAGAGGAGTTGATTTTGACATAGTGAATAATTGTAGACTACTGTAGCCAAAGTCTAAGATAGGCCCCAAAGTTTTGGGGGGTATTTTATTATACATGAACAGATAACTAATAAATTGGCAAAGAGGGCATGACTTTGTGCTAAAACTCCTAGGCATACACTCTGTGATTGGGGGTTGCCAGAGGCTTTGTGAGGTATCTCCAGCTGCCACAGACATGTCTAATAACTATTGTGTCTGCGAGGTCATTAAGATCCAAATGTTTCAACATTTATTGACTACCAATGTGTTCTGAGCATTTCCCTAGACCCTGGAGAATGAAGGGTGGAAGAAAATAAGAATAAATGGGACATTTCCAATGACCAAGAGTTGAAAAAATGAAAACAAGAAATGATAAGTGAAGAAAAAATATCTTAAATCCTTTTTTGTGATCTTGGGGGTTGGAACCAGAGGCGTGGAAGAAATGGGATCTCACATGTAGAAAGAAGGGAGAGAAGGTTAGTGAGGGCAGAAGGAGTGGTAAGGGAACCAAATAGACTTTCTTCCTTGGCCTTGGTTCTGGAGGAGAAGTAAACTAAGTACTAAGGTTGTTTTTTTTTTTTTTTTAACCTTCATTTTAAAGATTTTATTATTTATTTGTCAGAGAGAGAGAGAGAGAGAGAGACCGACCCTGTGCACAGTCAGGAGGAGCAGCAAACAGAGAGACAGGCTCCCTGGTGAGCAGGGAGCCAGATGTGGGACTCGATCCTGGGACCCTGGGATCATGACCCAAGCTAAAGGCGAAGGCTTAACCCACTGAGCCACCCAGGTGTCCCAAGTTCAAAGGTTTTTATTTGTTCTTTTGCTCAGTGGACACCTAACCGCCCCCATAATTTGCCCCACTTATCTGGGGATGGACTCCTGCTGCCCAAGCCAAATCTCACATCTCACCTCTTTTAAAATCCAGATTAAAACTCACTTTACCAGTTACCTTCAACACTGACCCCATCTGTTTCTGTTCAATTTTCTGCTTTTCCTACCAACTACAGTTTGGAAGATTATTCCGCTTGTGTCCTAGATGAAACCTATTTGCAACAAAATTTACAATAAAATATCTACCAAGAGTTATATAAAAGATAGATAGC